AAATGGAAAGTTAAATAAAAATATTTAAATAAGTAAATTTTCCTATTTTTTATTTATTATGGCAGATTCCATGATTCTTCTTTGCATTTCAGAATTTAAAAAAAAAACAACAACAACAAAAACAAAACACAAAAAACAGGAAAATGACAAGAGAAGCATAGTGTTCATTTCAAGGACTTGCTTTGAGCCCCCAACTTAATATAACCTTTTCTTGAAAGGAAGTTTCATGTATGAAGGAGATATCTTAAGAATTAAAAGTGGCTCACTCCCTGGGTGGTAAGTTTATAGACCTCTTAATTTTCCAAATTTGCTTTTCTGTATGTACTAGTTTTTCTGTAGTGGGAGTAGTTTGATAGTAAAAAGTAGTTCAATATTTATAAATTAAAAAGGCGCTGGAATAAAGTAAGTGCAGTTAAAACATACCAATGCTGAGTTCATAAAAAAATAATGGAAAGTTAAATAAAAATATTAAAATAAGTAAATTTTCCTATTTTTTATTTATTATGGCAGATTCCATGATTCTTCTTTGCATTTCAGAATTTAAAAAACAACAAAAACAAAACAAAACACAAAAAAACAGGAAAATGACAAGAGAAGCATAGTGTACATTTCAAGGACTTGCTTTGAGCCCCCAACTTAATATAACCTTTTCTTGAAAGGAAGTTTCATGTATGAAGGAGATATCTTAAGAATTAAAAGTGGCTCACTCCCTGGGTGGTAAGTTTATAGACCTCTTAATTTTCCAAATTTGCTTTTCTGTATGTACTAGTTTTTCTGTAGTGGGAGTAGTTTGATAGTAAAAAGTAGTTCAATATTTATAAATTAAAAAGGCGCTGGAATAAAGTAAGTGCAGTTAAAACATACCAATGCTGAGTTCATAAAAAAATAAATGATACCCTTCACCCAATGCATCAGTTTAAACTCTACTTCAGTCCAGCTCCACCTTGACTATCTAATTCTGTTTCTTATGCATTCACAAGGCACATCTTTGCCCCAGGTACACCTGAAACCCCCATTAGCCCCTGTAATTGCCACATCCAAAACCCATTTCTCTTTAAATCCACATTCTTCCCTTCCTTCAAGGTCTCTGAGATACCACTTGAGCCCACTCTTTCAAAAAAAACATTTTTTTTGTTACTTATGCATACTGCTGTCTGTTACCGAATATCATTTCAGGTGAATAATACCTTTAAAGCCTATGCTGAATTCTTAGAATGTCATTTAAAAGGGAAACATCTATATTAAAAATCTTGGCTAAAACGCAAGGTTAGCTGCTCCCCAGCAGGATCCCATAACTGGGTACGGATCTCCTCAGGGGTATTCGATTTTTTTTATGCCTTTCATTATAGTTGGCCGTTTGCTTGACTGCCTTACACCAAATGCTCCTTTTTCTCACTGAGACACAGCATTCTCTTATCCTCTTCTAGACCACTGGCCTCATAACAGAAGCTCTGCCAGGAAACTTTTGTTGCTTAAATGTTAATGCTATAAGCTTTCTGACATATGAAAGTAGAAAAGCCTTAAAAAGAAGGATGAGAATAAGCAAATCCTGTTGCTGTCTGACCTACTCATCTGTCTTTATGTTTTGACCTTTTTTAAATAAACTATTTTTAGTAGAATTCCTTTGCCTCACATTATTTGAAAGGGAACAAAAACAGACAATTGTAGGTTCTTATGGGTTTACATATCTAAACTTTTATACTTTACTACTTAGATGGATGGATAACACAACTCAAACATTTTTGTGTCAGGAGAAAAAAAAATTGTATAAATGCAACTTGATGTATTTAGTCTTGAATTTGGTGGCCTCCTATTCATGAATAAAACACAATGTAGTATTTTAATTAAGAGCACCCTGGTACTCTACAAGGATATTAAATGGTAAAATACTGGTTTTTCATACCAAGGAGCTAGTAGTTACATGGGTGACACAGATCTTACCTCGGAAGATAAGTCAGAACAGTTAAACAGTGGTATGTGATGATAATGGATGCCGGCTTTAAAATTGTATTGAATTAAGACCTAGATGAGTGGTACAGCTGATTAATATTGTTAATTTAGAAAAGGAAATAAAGATAATAAAAAATTTAAAGACAGCTTTGTTGTAGAAGTTATAAACTTATTGGGCACTGTAGAAATCCCTTTCATGCAAAATAAAAGGAAGAATAAAAATAAGCACTGGAAATTGTTCCTCTGTGAGCTTGTACACAGTGAGCCAGAATCTTTTCTTTTTCTACATATATACACTCACCTGCGTGTGTCTCTGCTTTGGTTTAGTTTTTCTTATGTCTGGATAACATGCGTCTGTATCTTTTATGCATTCAGTATGAAGTAAAATATTAACATGATGAGCATCTCTCTTGAGGAAATTGTGAGCACCTTTTAGTCCTAGAATTAAATACCTGTTGTAGGTCCTCAAAAGGAAGGCACTTCATAAGAACAAAGAATAATGAATTTTAGCCTATTTACCACATGTATTTACCACATGTATTCTGAATTGGGGTAAAATACTTATTTACCACATGTATTCTGAATTGGGAAGTTATCTTCACAGAAGTAAAATAGAAGAAAACACACACCCTCTTTAAGTCACATTGTCTGGCATGCAGTGTATCTAACTTCATGTCCCAAAACCTTGGCATGTCTCTATACCCATGTCTAAATTTTGTGGCACCTGCATGAGATAAACAGATTTATGCCTCAAAATTATTTCATTTAAAGGTGTGCATAAATTAAAAGCATGGGAATTGATTATTTAATACTCTTCCTTCTGCTGAAATCCTCTTTCAGATTTTGAATATTTCTTTAAAACATTATCCTATATGAAAAAGCCTAATATGCTAAGTGTCCAGTCATCTGGTCGGCTATTCAACCAATCAAAGCGTAATATGCTAATCATATGCTAAGGCCGCTCAAACACTCGCTATTATGTGCACTGACCACCAGGGGGAAGACAGTCAACCGGTCGACCAGTTACTATGACATGCACTGACCACCAGGGGGAAAACGCCCAACTAGTAGGTTAGCTTGCTGCTGGGGTCTGGCCAATCGGGACTGAGTGAGATGGGTGGAACATGCCCTGGAGCCCTCCCATGGCGTCCCTCCCTGGCCTCTATTGTGCACCAGTGGGGTCCCTTGGCCTGGCCTGTGCCCTCTCACAATCCAGGACCCCTCAGGGGATGTCAGAGAGGGGGTTTCAGCCCGATCCCACAGGCCAGGCTGAGAGACCCCACTGGTGCACGAATTCGTGCACCAGGCTTCTAGTTTAATATAAAACAAAATGAAAGGGACTGAATATCTTTCAGAAGAATAAGATTAATTATTTTCTTTCAACCCATACCTAACATTTTTAATAGCTTCTTAGTTTCTCAAATATATGTTGCATTTAAAAATTACTTAGATTATGTCTTTGCTCTGAAGACCTAATTTAAAATGACCCTACTATTCTTACAATTTATAATAATGTTAATGAGGATGTAATGAGAATAATCTTTATCAACTTTCTTTCTCAGGGTTATCAAATTAGAAGTATTTTCCTTTAGTTTTATCAGGCTACAGGGGCCTCGTTGCTCATAAGATGCATATTTTTAATGAAAGAGATATATCACTTTTTCGCATGTCAATCATGTCACAAAAATTACTTTGAGTTGCTAGGATAGCTGCCTAATTTGAGGAGTAGAAAATCACCTGTCACTACTGACTGACTACAAAGTGGTAAAGTCATGATTGCAGGTTTTACTTATAAGGCAAATTGTCTATCAATGGCAGGGAGTTAACCAATCACTTAAAAAACTTTAATGACAAATCCTTATTATTTTGATCACACCACAGTTGAGTTCAAGACATAGACAATCAAAACCACATTTTCCATTTTTTTAATTAAATTTATTGGGGTGACATTGCCTAATAAAATTATATAGGTTTCAAGTATACAATTCTATGATGCATTTTTAAAATAACTGCTGGTTTTCCACTCTTAGATGATGATAGTCAACCTGCTTGCACAGCTAACTGTTATGGACTGAATGTTTGTGCTGTACCCTCATTCATATGTTGAAATCTAATATCTAATGAGATGGTGTTTGTAAGTGGGACCTTTGGGAGGAAATTAGGTCATGAAACTGGAAGCTCCATGAAGGGGATTTTTAAGAAGAGGCCAGAGAGCTAGCTTCTCCCTTTTCCATCATGTGAGGAGGCAGGGAGAAGTCAGTCTTCTGCAGCCTGGAAGAGGGCTCTCACCAGAACCTGACCATGCTAGCACCATTATCTCTGACTTCCAGTCTCCAGGGCTATGAGCAAATACATTTCTGATGTTGATAAGCTACCTACTTTATAGTATCTACACTAATAAAAGAGAAACATGGTAATTGGCGTACGACCGCTACCCTTTTCATTGGCTAATCAGTGAGTATATGCAAATTAACTGTCAGCCAAGATGGCGGCCGGCAGCCAGGCACTGAAGTGAGCAGGGAGGCTTGCTTGCTGCAGACTCCAATGTTCCCCGCCTCACTTGCCAGCCTCTTAGTTGCAACTCTAAGCAACTATATACTATGTTGCAAATAAGAAGCAAATGCCCAACTAGTAGGTTAGCTTGCTGCTGGGGTCTGGCCAATCGGGACTGAGTGAGATGGATGGGACATGCCCTGGAGCCCTCCCGTGGCGTCCTTTCCTGGCCTCTATTGTGTACCAATGGGGTCCCTTGGCCTGGCCTGTGCCCTCTCACAATCCAGGACCCCTCAGGGGATGTCAGAGAGCGGGTTTCAGCCCGATCCCGCAGGCCAGGCTGAGAGACCCACTGGTGCACGAATTCGTGCACCAGGCTTCTAGTTTAATATAAAACAAAATGAAAGGGACTGAATATCTTTCAGAAGAATAAGATTAATTATTTTCTTTCAACCCATATCTAACATTTTTAATAGCTTCTTAGTTTCTCAAATATATGTTGCATTTAAAAATTACTTAGATTATGTCTTTGCTCTGAAGACCTAATTTAAAATGACCCTACTATTCTTACAATTTATAATAATGTTAATGAGGATGTAATGAGAATAATTTTTATCAACTCTCTTTCTCAGGGTTATCAAATTAGAAGTATTTTCCTTTAGTTTTATCAGGCTACAGGGGCCTCCTTGCTCATAAGATGCATATTTTTAATGAAAGAGATATATCACTTTTTCACATGTCAATCATGTCACAAAAATTACTTTGAGTTGCTAGAATAGCTGCCTAATTTGAGGAGTAGAAAATCACCTGTCACTACTGACTGACTACAAAGTGGTAAAGTCATGATTGCAGGTTTTACTTATAAGGCAAATTGTCTATCAATGGCAGGGAGTTAACCAATCACTTAAAAAACTTTAATGACAAATCCTTATTATTTTGATCACACCACAGTTGAGTTCAAGACATAGACAATCAAAACCACATTTTCCATTTTTTTAATTAAATTTATTGGGGTGACATTGCCTAATAAAATTATATAGGTTTCAAGTATACAATTCTATGATGCATTTTTAAAATAACTAGTTTTCCACTCTTAGATGATGATAGTCAACCTGCTTGCACAGCTAACTGTTATGGACTGAATGTTTGTGCTGTACCCTCATTCATATGTTGAAATCTAATATCTAATGAGATGGTGTTTGTAAGTGGGACCTTTGGGAGGAAATTAGGTCATGAAACTGGAAGCTCCATGAAGGGGATTTTTAAGAAGAGGCCAGAGAGCTAGCTTCTCCCTTTTCCATCATGTGAGGAGGCAGGGAGAAGTCAGTCTTCTGCAGCCTGGAAGAGGGCTCTCACCAGAACCTGACCATGCTAGCACCATTATCTCTGACTTCCAGTCTCCAGGGCTATGAGCAAATACATTTCTGATGTTGATAAGCTACCTACTTTATAGTATTTTATTATAACAGCCTGAGCTGATGATCACAGCTGCCCACAGAAGCATGTGCAGCCAGGACTCAGTGTTCCTAAGCCTTCTGGGGAGACACATCCCCATTAAACTGGGTCACAGTGTTGTGCTTTGTGATTACTTGTTTTCAACTAATTTGGAAGTCAGGTAGTGAATCTTCACAAAAAGAGGAGATTATGAAGTCAGCATTCTGCAGAGAAACTGGCTGCTAGTAGAAGAGAAGAGAATAAAAGACATACTTGAGCAAAGGAAGGTGGTGGGACAGGGCAACATAATCAGACAAAGCCATGAAGTCAGGAAAGGCAGTGTACTAGTAGGAAACAATACTAATTATTTTCCAAGAGCTTAGGTTTTAGTATTCAGAGAAATGGATATAACTCCTGCTCAGACCCTTACTAGCTATATGACCTTGGGCAAAGTACTTCACTTCTTTGACTCTCAATTTCCTCATCTTCAAAATGAAAATTATGATAAACCTGTCTTAAGAATTGGGAAAATTAGATATGATAATGCAGTTAATGTTCCACATAGATCATTGTGTAATATGCATTTAGTGAATGATAGCTTTAAAGCTTTAATGTTTATTATTGAAATAAAGCTTGAGCACTTGGATAGTCCAGAGTTTTAAAATAGTGTTTGTTTGTTTGTTTGTTTTTTCTACTTTTTCAACAGATATCACTAAAAAGTCTGAAACAATATGCAACAACTTTACTGGAGCTCTGTTGAATTACCCAATTGATAGCATAAGCATGTGCCTAGGATACCAAAAGAGAAACATCACAAACAAAACAAAACAAAAGAAGAGAAGATGAGAGTAGCTATAGAGAAGTTATTTTATCTTTTCATGGTGCAATTTTATGTCATATTTTAAAATAAAGTCATATTATAAGTTTGTGTATTAAAATTAAAATATACTGAGAAAAAATAATATTTTAATATTTGTGTCTTATTAAGAATATAAGAATAGCAGAGGACACCAAAAGGTATCCACTGAACACAAAAAAAGAGAAATTTAAACCAGAACAAAGTCTGTCATCACTAAATCCTGAGTGAGGTGAAGTGAAAAATTGTTATCAGAAGCTTACTGTAAAATATCCAGCCTATGCTGGGTAGGAATGGAAAACATATATAGTTTTAATTTTAGAATAAACTTTCATTTATTCTGGGTAAATTATTTTATCATTTCTTACAATATCTCAAATTCAAGAACATTCTTGATACATACCTAATTCTTTTTTCCCAAGGCAGGGGAAAAAATAAACAATCTGTCTCATGTTCATTAGAATTCCTAAGTTTCATGACTTTATTTTCGGCAAAGACCCAAATGCTATTGGAAAGTAAAACTTTATACTTTAATACTTATGTATGTCTTACTACAACTGAATTTATGACCTCTTAAAATGAAGAAAGAGAGAGCATTTATGTGGAGAATATAAGCCAGAGGATTAGGGATTCTGCTGGTGGGAAGGACAGTGAGCCTAAAGCTTATTGCTACCATAACAGCATAGGCCAGCCCTGTTACTATCTTTACTCATGCAGCAGAAGAATATATTTTTTGAAACAGTATCTGCTGTATATTTTATTTCTTAATAACTATCATTTTCCAATCCCTTCACCATTTGAAGCTTGTGTATTCATTTCATTGGAGGCGCTGAGAAAAAATAATATTTTAATATTTGTGTCTTGTTAAGAATATGATAATAGCAGAGGACACCAAAAGGTATCTACTGAACCCAAAAGAAGAGAAATTTAAACCAGAACAAAGTCTGTTATCACTAAATCCTGAGTGAGGTGAAGTGAAAAATTATTATCAGAAGCTTACTGTAAAATATCCAGCCTATGCTGGGTAGGAATGGAAAACATATATAGTTTTAATTTTAGAATAAACTTTCATTTATTCTGGGTAAATTATTTTATCATTTCTTACAATATCTCAAATTCAAGAACATTCTTGATACATACCTAATTCTTTTTTCCCAAGGCAGGGGAAAAAATAAACAATCTGTCTCATGTTCATTAGAATTCCTAAGTTTCATGACTTTATTTTCGGCAAAGACCCAAATGCTATTGGAAAGTAAAACTTTAGACCTTAATACTTAGGTATGTCTTACTATAACTGAATTTATGACCTCTTAACATGAAGGAAGAGAGAGCATTTATGTGGGGGATATAAGCAAGAGGGTTAGGGATTCTTCTGGTGGGAAGGACAGTGAGCCTATAGCTTATTGCTACCATAACAGCATAGGCCCGCCCTGTTACTATCTTTACTCATGCAGCAGGAGAATATATTTTTTGAAACAGTATCTGCTGTATATTTTATTTCTTAATAACTATCATTTTCCAATCCCTCCACCATTTGAAGCTTGTGTATTCTGCTCACATTACAGTTGGCTCAATACTAAGCAGGGGGCATGCAGGAGGCAGCCGATCAATGATTCTCTGTCATCACTGATGTTTCTATCTCTCTCTCCCTCTCCCTTCCTCTCTGTAAAAATATGAATAAAAACATATTTTTAAAAAGTATATAATATGCTATATATTTTAACTTTTTAATAATTTACACCCCCCCTCACACACACAGAGAACGTAAGTGTAGGATAGTGGTTATTTTCATCTCATTTATTCACTCCTTTTCTCCTAACTGAAACAGTGTTACTTGGTCTATCATAGGCATTCAAAAAGCATGCGTGGATAGGATAAGTGAATCAATTAATGATAGGAAGAAGGTCTGGTTTGGTTCACCAAGGAACAAAGAATGGAAAAGAATATTAGGAACTCTATAAGATAAAATAAAAATAAATGCACTTAGATGTTACTCCTAAAGTTGCTACTAATGAACTATATCATCTTTAAATACTTTTTGTACATCCTTTTTAAAAAGCAATTTCAATGTTTCATCTATAAGAACAAGTTGAGTAATATTTATAATAATAAAAGTGTAATATGCTAATTAGACCGGATGTCCTTCTGGACCACCTTCCAGATGAAGCCGGGGCTGCGATGGCCGAGCCCCTTGCATAAATTTTGTGTATCAGGCCTCTAAGTGTAATATAAGATCCTTTGCATCTCTGATTTTTTTTTAATGACAGATTTTATACTCCATTCTCTTGTCCCATTTCAGAAAATAGAAATTTATAACTATTTAAGTGCTTATGTATCTGTATTAGTCTGGCTTTTGTCAGGATTACATGAAATATAGCATTTTTAAAAAGTCTCCCCCCGAGTATAAACATAGCATTTTTTACATTTTCCCCTAACATAAACAATTACTAAAGAAACATTTATAAATTTTGATGTTAGGTTTTCCAAACTAATGATGATATGAAAGAGAAAAATACAACTCCACATACATACACAGCTGAAATTTATCAGAAAAAAATATAAGCCAATCTCCTCTTCCAGGCACCCTGCCCCAGCTGGTCTAAGAACATACATCACCATGGCTTCCAAATTTTAGTTTACAAGAAACACATATGTTAGTTTCATAGGTCTTGATCATTACAAAATCACAGATTGCAAGGTTTGTCTCAGAAACTAATCAAAAGGTGACACATTCTGTTAACTTCTATTATGCATTCATAATATGATCTTTCAATCCAATGTCATAAAGAATTCATGTAGGACATTAATCATGCAAGACCACTAAATTGTTCTCATTTCAGTGATAATTGTTTACTCTTATAAATGGTTTGAGTTCCAACAATCCCACTGAATAAAATATATCTCCCACTCACTCTGGAATGGGAAAGAAAATTAACCTATGAAATAACAAACTGAATGTGTAATATGACTTGTAGAAAAACTAAAATTTAGTAGAGTTCTTCTCTGTTTAATGACAAAGACCAATGGCACAAAGGATACTTCTGTAGGCTCTACTAAAAAAAATCTTGAGAAAAAAAATGAAACCAAACTACAGCAAAACCATGTATAATCAGCAAGTATCTATAAACAAACCCTCTTTAATATCTACATGAGACGGTTGACTCTGAAATCAGCTAGAGTATCTTGTAAATGAAACTCAATACACCTTGCTAGTCAACAAAGCTAAATCTAATTAGAGTGTCAATCATTAGCCAGGAACAAAAGAAAAGGAAATCTAATGGTAAATTAATTCAGTAATGTCTGGTGAAATGGCATGAGAGCTGCCAGTCTTATGATCTGACTTCTAATCCTAAATTCACTAATGCTTCCATAACCTTGAGATTGACACCTAAACTCCTGTCTCAGTGTCTTTCATGTGTAAAACGAGAAGGCAGGATTCCACAATTTTGTAGGTTTGTCCTAGCACCAACATTTTATGAGTCTATAAAGAAAGCTAATCAAAAACTCTGATTAAAAACCCCCACAATGATTTGTCTCCAATTTTTTTTACTTCCCCACTGCCTACTGAACAGAACAAGAAAGGGATCAATTTAAGACAGCCCTTTCAGCCTAAAGGTGCCACAACTAATGCACTGTCTATCCCTGCTTTCTAAATGGAACCTTTCTGTATACATATTTAAAGTATCTACTTTATGAGCATAATAAATAGCAATTGCCCTTTAATGGAAACTTTAGCTGTGACCATTATGGCACAATTTAAGTGCTTAAAAACACAAATGGGAGTGATCCAATGTTAATTATACTAAGGATATGAAAGCTGTTCACAAGAACTCCTTCAAAATTAAGTAAAACCCTGGCTAATTCTAATTACAGTCTGTCTGGAAATGATAAGAGAAATTAAGCACCCCCTTTGCACCGCTTCCTTAATATAACATCACTATTTGCCCACATGGGTTGAGCAAACATTGTGACACAGAAAAGTGGGATTCTGAAATAAAAGATTTTTTCATTTTAAAAGAGAAAAGAAAAACAATGGATTATTTACATAGTAAATGCATATTAAAACAGAGCTAACTTTCTTGTCTCTAAGCCTAAGGTAACCCATTTTTTAAAGGGCTTATTCATTAAATTTTCAGACTCAAATTTCAGACACCTCCAGTGTCTTTTTAGACTTATTTTATGAACCATTTAGAATAAATAAATTTTAAAAATAAAACCATGAAAACTCTCCTTCACCTTAAAATCATGGATTTAAAAAAAAATTAAAGGCCATATCAAATATTTTTGTTTCTTTCAGAAATATCTATTCCTGACTCTCATCT